TCAGAAGCACCACAGTTGCAAAAATATGATGAGAACAACGAAAAGTTACAGTTGTTCAGCACTGAGAATTCAAGTCTATTTTTACCTAGCCACACAGGAATTTCATACAACTGTATCATCCCACTCAATATTATAAGAACCACAAAGGCAGGGGCAAGGGGGTGTAATTATTTGATTTCTAACATTTGAATATTCAATACCACTTCTAGGTAATTATTTCAGCCTTAGATTCTAGCCATGTTTTTATAGTGGGCATTTTATAACATTTAATCAGAAGAGAAACAAACATCATCAATTGTAGTTGTAGGTATTTTCTATCAGTGCAGCCCATTCAGCTGAGGAGTCATTTAGTGTTTGAACCAACAGCTCTTTTACTCATTCCACCTGACCATTGGAACAAAACAATAAGATATAAATGTCAGTAGGAAACTTCCAAGAAACCCGCTAGGGTTCCATTCGTAGCAACCGAAGATATCATTGGGTGGAAAGTTTTACATATGTTAGGGAAACAGACATCACTTTAAAAAAAAAGCAAAACAAACCAAACCCAACAAACACCAAAACAAAAAAAAAAACACCACCACACCACCCCCCCCTTTCCCTAAGGTACTTAAAGTGATCCTGCTCCTTTCAAGCAATCCTTCAAATGCAACCCACTCTCCTAACTGCTTCAGAAGCAACCTGTGAACCGTAGATGTCACCACCACAAGTGATGTAACCAAAAGGAAGCAGGAATATATTCCAGAATGAAACAAAGAGCAAGTGTGGACAGAAGGCATCAATTATTTTTGATCATTTCAGACAATCACTTGATGGTCAGCCTGAGCTAGATCCCAAGTCCAATTTACAAGCATCCTTTAAAATATGTTTTACTGTTATGTCTAGTTTCTAAATGAGGTGAAATAGAAATCGGAAACACATATGATCAAAGTAAATAAATATTAAAAGGGAACTTAACTGAAACAGAGATTCAACTTACTTGTAGATGACTAGCAATGAAAGCCCAATCATCTGTACCATATTGTTCCACCAGCTTCTTTAGCCTTTCATCCTGTTAAGACATAACCTCAGCCAATAAACGTTACATGTTATCCCAATATGATACTAAGTAATAACATATTTCATGTGCTACCAATATCATATAAGAATGAAACTAAAGCCAAAAAAAGTATTACCTCATCACGTGTCCATTTCACTCTGTTACATATCTTCTTCAAACCTTTTTGCTGTGGTACTTCATAGTCATGATCCACATATTGAAGGTCATCATCTTCCTCACTGCAGAGTACAACAGAAGAGTGAAGAAGATAGAAATAGAGTTTAAAATAACTCTGAATAACTTTTTTTTTCTAACTACTTGTAGCTTTTTTCCAATCCGTACACATTGTTCTAAAATGGCATACGGAATTTGCATGAACATAAGATCTGCCTCCAGCAATGGCCTGTATTCACCATGTCAAAGGAACAGAATTAATTTTAATTTCAAGGCCACGTACTGGGATACATGTAGATAATTCATTCCAAGTCAAGACTTAAATTTGAAGCAACAGCTATTGTTTAACATCATGTTTTTGTAACACATTCATGAATCCTTATTTTACACAAACGAGCTTATAAGATAAAGTGGTTTGATAGTCTGCAAAATACATTCATAGTCCACCTCCGTAGCTCAAACAACGAACACAAGAAGGGTGTCAAATAATTTAGCGTCACCTTGAGATTTTAAGTGGGTTCCTGCCTTGAATAAAAGCGTTGCCTCAATTTTACAGGAATTAGATACAAATCTTTGAAGACAGAAATATTCCGGCAAGAAATAACTACCGTTCAGCGCTGACCCTCTAAGTGAAGAGTCAAGAGAGGCAGGAAGCCGGGTAAGCTCTGTGTCTCCATGTAGATCGCACACCATCTACTGGAGAAATGCATACTTCACAGCCTTCACAAACAAAGCCTTACCAACAAGCAGCACAGAGAAACGTTTCACGGAAATATCCCTTAAACTTACACGTCAGTGACTCATCTTAGACAGCATAAATTCAAACACATGTGGAAATCTAGGCCTAAAACCAAGATGAGCAGTTCCTCTGCGTTAATTACAGCAAAGACACAAAGAAGAGATTCCCATCCAAATACAGAGCTTTAATTAAAAGCAGTTTCACACTGCAATCTTAATTTTTCCCCATTTTGTTATCAGTATAAAGCACTATACAGATATCATAAATTCATGTTCAAAACTAAATTTATTGGTTCTGCTCAGCCTTGAAAATTACTTAAATTTTTCAACCAAAGGTAAAAAAATCCTTGCCCAGTAAAGGAATTAACCTGTGCCGGTGTTCGAAGAACCGATCAGATGGCAGATCTCTACATTATTTTCCAGAACATGCAATTCACCACCACAGCATGCTGATCGACCATTTACGTGTATTTATTATTTCCCATGAAGTGAGTATGTTCTCTGTGGCTAACACAAATATAGGTTATTCAAAAAGAGCACTACTTACTTGAAAGCATTACTACAGGGTAGTATGTACCCACCCTTGCAGACCCAGTGTATTTAACATTGCTTCTACAACCTATACTGCAGCTGGATTTGCCCTACTTCGCTTCATGATGCAGTAGAAATAGTTAAAAACAGATAGACATATTAAAACTTTGTGGAGCCAGTGAAATACAAAGCAGTAAGCTTGTCTAAAGGTCAACAGCAAGTTCTTCACAGTACTTACAAAAAAAAATATAAGCTGCAAATACAATGATTGTAAGAGTTTGGCATTAAGTGGCTTAAGACTACAAAAAGTAGGATTTAAACTCACAGCTAACTATGAGTTTTCTCTTCCCCCTCCCACCTCCTTCTTTTTTTTTGTCTCTTATCCACAAGTTCTCAACAAAATTCAGGAGTATATCTTGGTATTGTAAGGAACACATCTTGGTATTATAATCCTACTTCATACCAAGCAAACCATGCAGTTTAATTATAACTAAAATTTGGCCTTATGGTTAGCCCTTTGTCAATACGATCTCTCACCCACTGCACAGCAAACTAGTTCAAGAACAGAATTTTCAGTTATGTGAAAAGTCACAGGGATTTTAAAGAACAGGAAAGGCTCCATGTACACAGCAGTGACACTGATGAGAGCACCGGTACTAGACAACACAGGGTCCCCACCAGCAGCGGCGGCAAAGAGCCCTGCACCTGGAGTTCTCCAGCGGCACGCACGTCCCACAGCCAAAGCGGCACGGCTGCCGACAACCTCCGTCCGCGAGGGCCAGCCAAGAGGGCACTAACCTCTCTTGCACCTTGATTCCACATGAATAACCGTTTAGCCTTCAGTCTTGTTTAGACTAGTACACCAGTAGATTATAAATTAAATATACGTGAATGGGTGGGACTCCTAGCAAGTTTTTATGAAAAAGAAAAGATTTTTAAACAGGTTGTGTTGTTATAGTTCATTTGACAATTCTTTTGCAGTTATGAAACTGTGCTAAAATGCTACACAAAGCTGGAACATGGCCACCAAATTTCATCTAATAAGAAATCTGGAATAATAAGTTAAGTATTTCATGAGTTCTGTGATAACTGTCTTTGCAATTCCAAGTTGAGAACCATTAAAGGAAAAAAACTAAGCTTCCAAATGCAAAAACCAAGAGCAGTTTAATGAAATTAAACTTAATTCCATTTGGTGCAAAACAGTTCTACTTTCTCCTTACTCCACAGTTAGATTAACAGTCTTGAAATCATCTTTATGTAAACTCATAACAACAATGATTTAGTTTTGCTGATATCATCATCACACACTGACATGGTATTCCTTTAGGGCTAATGATTTCTAACCAAATATTCCTCTGCTATCCACAACCAGTCGTATCTTCAGTTATGACATCAAAAGCAGTCCATAGCCATGAGAGGTAATACAAGATAAAGATGAAACTATTGTTTGCAATACCACAAAAATTACAAAATGCAGACTAGAAGAAACAAGAAACATTCTCTCTCCATGTTGATTCTTGCAGATAGCCAAGTATAGACAGCTCCAGCAGTTCACCTCTGCAAGCGAAGTCCCTTAAAGAATCTTTGCTCCTTACACAACTAGAAACCCAAAGGATTGCTTTTCTTGTTTTAGTTGCAGTTTTGCAGAAAAATAATATTAATTTATGAACTCTTTTCATGTCAAAGGGAAATGTAGAAGCAGCTTTAATATCTGTAGCTTTGAAACCACCCCCAATTCCATGACAAGTATGCAGTCACAGATACCATAGGTAACTCGCATATTAGTGTTACTCACTGAACATTCTTTCCTTTCTCAATCCTAATCTTTCTTTTACATTTCTTTATCACCTTTCAGAAACTGATTTTCTATTTAGGACAAGAATAACTATAGCAATAACACAGTTCTCCAAGATCCACCTTCTGAATACTGAGTAAAGACACACCCATTTTCATATCAATAAAGCAAAAGATGTATCAAAACCATCTGGGGCTGCTGCAGAAGCTCTTGCGGAAAACATTTTCTCTCAGGAATATTTCAGGCTAGATTACAACATTCTCAATCAAAGAACACGCCAAATCAGAGAAAGTAGGTGCACTTAAGATACTGAAAGAATCAGAACGCCTCAACATTAACTTTAACTGAACAACTCCAAACCTTGCATCAAGGCTGTGCCAAAGCCACCGGGGAGGAGACAAGCAAGAAACGTTACTCCAGCAGAAGGAAAGTAACCAGCAGGAAAAGCTGCCGCGGAGACAACGTAGTCGTTACTGACAGGCTCAGCGACCACAGAAAAGCCAAGCTAAGGAGTTGCCTAGGTAAACTACAACAAAGATGGTCCGAGCGAAAGC